AGCCATAGCCCCCCCCCCCCAATTTTCGATTTCTCCCCAGATTTCGGCCACTTTATTCTGCAAAAAAAAAAACGTCAGGATGGCATTAAAAAATGTAAAAAACGGGCCTCGAACCCTCCCCCGACTCTTCAGAGAGAGGAGAGAGTAGATAGTAGGGACCCACAACCCTCTCAGTGGTGACACTCCGGCGGTGCACATAAAATCGCACAAGTATGCACAAAATATTGACGCAGATAAAACTTTGGACGATAACTTACGGCCGTTCGGATGTTAAAAATCAGCGAGCCCTGAGTGGATCGCTCGCCGACTAGTCGGAGATTCGAAAGCGGTCGGACGGCATCGGGCGTTGTCGGGAGGAATGGGGTTGGGAACTCGATTTTTTAAGAATGCATGAAAATGATCAAACTATTTTCACAGAATTTATGGTGCATACCATTGCCTCATAAAATCAATATCCTGAGAGAAATGGGTGAAGAAAGATAGGAAACTTGTTTTGAAAAGTTCTTGAAAAAAGATGCTCTTGATGCTGTTACGTCACATGTCACCTTCTGCGGTTGACAATTAATGGCGCATCTGGCGCACCACAGATTACATGTTATATCAATGGGTGAAAGATGTTGTTTGTTTCACTCTGCCATTCGCGCTGTTTTTAACTTTAAATTATGCTAAAACATTTACGAATGAAATGTTCAGTGTCAAAAATTGATGTGTCTGCCGTGTACTATATTCCCACTTAACATTGAGCGCGTGATAAACATTTTATGTACCTCGAATTTTCAAATGATAAAGATGATGAATCGGAGGATGCTGAAAAGCAAAAGCTCATTCCAATATTTGGACTACTTTACGATTAAAATGTTTACATTCCTGTCATCTTATTGATCATTTATCTGTTCTTTTTTATGAAAATAACTTAAGGCGTTGAGAGCCGAGGTAATTTCTATCTACCGTGCCTTAACTTACCAGCAACAGCAATCTATCTACGCCCTACGGTGGCAAGGGAGACTGTGAAAGAAGCGTAAGATGGATTCTAAACAATTCTTTTGTGATATACTGAAGGGCAAAGTGCAGAGAAGAGCATACAAGTCCTGTTTTGTGCCAGGCTGTTGCAGTAGCACTTATGAAACTCCGAAAACGATCTTCGTTCATGTCCCGAACAACATTACCCTGAGGAGATGATCGTCTGCAATAGCAGGAAGAGCTGATGCAAGTACTTTGAAATCCACTATCAAGTCGGTGCTATTGTTGTAATGATCACTGTGAGGTGAGATATTTTGTGTAAGGGCTGAGTGTAATGCCCAGGAGATGACCTCCATTCGCCCCCTGACCGGTCAGGGTTATAAAAATTTGAGTGGATGGCGGTCCGTTTGGGGTTCAGATGTCAATTGTATTTTGTTACTGTCAAACAATACATGTTATGCTGGCAGCGAATGTGTGTAACGTCGGTTTTCGAAACAGAAGTTAGAACTGTAACGGCAGAGTGCTTGCTGGTCTCATCGTAAGTATTGTAAGTGTTGTAAGCAAAAGCATTGTCAATATTGTAAGTATTGTGAGCATTGATGTATGGTAGATATCACCTCACATGATCTCGGCTCAGATAACCCTATCCGGTGTCCCTGTCAGTAAATGGCACCTGGATCATTACAGATAAGATAATTTGTCATTATTCTTAAAGAATTGGGTGGTTTTGACTCGTTTACTCGAGGTGCAGGTCGCATTTCAATACTTTTCCATAGGCTTGCAATGTAAAGGTCACGACTCTGACCTAACCTCAGGTAACAGATCAAAAATTCTGAGATATACGAACGACACATACTGCAGGTACTGTTTTGAAGAATTGATGAGAGGAAATAACTTCGTGAAAAACTCAAGCTCTGACGTGTTTGCAAACTTTTCTGAGGTGGGGTCAACAAACCCGCTCTGGTTACCTGACCTGACCTGACCCGGCATTTTTTTTTTTTTTGCTGAGATGTGCGCAATGAGCATTTAGGAAAAGTCACCAAATATGAGCTGAATGTCTCGCGGCGTTTGGCAATTGTACAAGAAAATCCTGAAAGGCCTCCCCGTCCGAAATAGGGTTAATGTGTATATGAAGAGTTGCAGATGCCAAACATACCCAGATCTAAGACTGCAGTTCCCACCGCCGCTGCAATGTTTTTAAAACAAACATACATAGGACATACAAACATGTTTATTTGCATCTGTTTTGGATAATAGCAAGTAGCAACTCATGGCGCCATCACCCGCGATAACTGTTAGGATTTGAGATATATTTTTATTTAGGCCATTAGTTTGGCTGTAATGTTTATTAATATTAGTTGGGCGGAGTTTGGTAGTTTTTTATTTAACTTGTGGTATGTTGTGCTGATTGCGGGTTGTTCAAACCTTTCAAATGTAAGGACCTTATTGAACTCAACCCTACCCCTACACTACCCTACATACGACTGGACGCTTTCCAAGCCCACAAGCATCACGACGCCGAGATGGAATGTAGCCGGGAAATCACCCTCGCCATCTGCTCTAGAGCTAATCGTGTGGGGCGGCGTGTGGGGCGCCGCTTAGCCTATGGGGGTGCACTTCTAGTGGATGGGGACGGGGGTGCACCTGCACCCCTTTCATATGGAAAGTTACTTCCCTGATTACAGCTCCCCGTATTGCACCTAATCAGGGAACGGCCAGCAAACGAAGGAACTATTTCTGGATGACAGGCGAATAACCGTTCACGCAAGGAGCGGAGCTCCGCCCCGTCCAAAGTGGCCAACAAAGCAGAGACGAGGCAGCATCACATCTTCCATCAAAGAACTGGTTTCTGGCTTGGAAGATGAGCTCCATCTTTGCATCCGAGTCGGTGCTGTCAGGAATCAGCTGGTCTAATGGAGTGAGAGTAGTGAGACGACTAGCTATTGTATCAGAGCTGCCTGGTCTTCGTAGCATTTGCACCGATTCTTCTCGATCGGACTCTGAATTCTGTCCCTCCTGCGTATTACTTGAGGCATTGCTATGTAGCTAAGTCTTTGGCAGAGTTTCATTATCCATGCTTTGCAAACAGTGCCATAACAACACAGTTAATTAATCACCAAGCTGTTTTGCAAGTTCCAATACAGTTGAATCGCACGCGATTTGGGTGCAAAAATCAAGAAAAGTGCAAATTTGTTCCAGTAAAATATTTTGAATATTGACCTAAAAAAATGAGTAATTTCCAGATAAAATAACAGCGAAATCAGTTTTCGCTTGCCAATAAAACTCACAGATATTGAAGCTCCATTATTAAAGGAACATTTTAGTATATGCCATTCTTTATAAAACTTCTTAGCCACGCAATACAAGCGCAAAATAAAGAGACACTGAAAACACGACCAATCACTCCCATTTACCATAGGAAAATACATAGACAATGTATGTCTCAACTGCGCCAAATATACAGACAGTTATATACCTACATGTGACGTCATGATTAGCCCGACCAATCAGAAGCAAGTTGTTTTCAGCCACAAATAATTAATTTCTGAACTAACTAGGCATTTTTTTAACAAAGTGATTTTAAATTAAATCATTAAAAATTCTGAGCTTTTTTATTTTACCAAAACATACAGAGCATGCAGATAGGTCCCAACCCTATTGTGAACAGCACAAGTGCAACTTTAGTGAAGTGGGTTGTTGTAGCAGGAACCCCAAAAGGGGGTTGTAGCAGCAGCCCCAACATCTCTGAAAATGATCATTAAGCATATTGGTGTCGCATGGAAAAGAATTGACTCAAAAGCCCAAGCGCACTGTGCAACCCTAATATTTTTCTAAAAACTAAGTAATGTACGCTTTTGGTGAACAGTGTCCCAAACTTCAGATTTCTCTTTGGTGTCTGAGTGGAAAATTCTAGCCACCCAAATGTGAGAGTGGAGAATTATTCATTCTTATTCTTGAGTGTCATCTTCAGCCCAAATGAGAAATTTTTGGAACGCTGACTGTGAACGGTTCGAAATTCGTCCGACTGGTCAGATGTGTGACTGCAAGCATCATACCGGTCGTGAAGACGCATAATATTGCTTGCAGACTTCAATCTGCTGGAAGTCGCCGACACTACCTCTAGTTTGACTCTGGCTTATATCGTGTATATCGACGAGCCGTCTGAGATCGCTCGCAGGCTTATACCCGACCGTCTGAACTGCTCTGTTCTTTATTCGTAGTTTTTTTCTTGTAACCGACTGGTCTGCGGCAGATGCTTATGTGACTGCAACCACTCGATCGATCAGAAAGCTTGCAAGAACTTTCGCAGACCTCGATCGGCTGGAAGCCGCCGACGCTATCTGTAATTGACAGAGGCAGACGTCTTTCACGATTATTGCATAAAATTTAAAGCCTCGGTCACACTTCACCGGATTGGACCAACGGACGAGAAACGGACGAGAACTGTCAGCGTCCGGTGATGTCCGTTTGCAGGGTATATTGTCCGTTTGTTTCCGTTGGACGTCCGTTTGTCATCCGTTAATATCCGTTCCATATCTGGTGGTGTCCGGTTGAGCACACCGGACACCACTGGACATGGAAGTACTGTGACGTCACATGGAGATCGAAGTAAAAATCATACAGCAAAGACGTAGGTGGTGGATTTTTTAAGTTGTGGGTACTAGGTATAGTCCACCCAAGAGGATATTGCAAACAATAGGTTGAAGTTTTTTTCACAAGAATATGTTTCACCGATGGGTACTTTACAGCCTGAAAATGTACGATAAGATCTGCTTTTTCAATTTGAAAAGTGAAAAATGTGAAAACTTCGATTTTTCGGAAAATAACTGGTGGGCCAAATCTTTGAGGCTGGTGGGCCATTTCGGGTCACTGGTGGGCCATTTGGCCCACCAGTTAACATGTTAGCCGAGGCCCTGTTTCTTCCTTATGTGCTTTATATGTTGAGGACAGACGATAGCGGAAGACTTGTATTGTAAGACGTCACACGAGCTCCACCAATACTTTCACAGAGGAAAATAGCATGCTCATGTGAGCTGGTACATTCCGTCTATTCAACAGCAGGCCGTGGAAATAACCCACCTAGTCAAACAGTCTAGAAGTACCGCACATAGGGGCCGGAGCCGCGATCGTCGAATGAGTCCAGGCCACCGAAGCTGCTGTCGTCGCGGGAGAAGCGACTGCCGAAGAGATCGTCGTTCGAGCTCTGGCTGCCGAAGGCGTCATCGTAAGAGCCCTGGCTCTGGTAGAGATCGTCGTTGGAGCTCGGGCTCTTGTAAAGGTCGTCGAACGAGCTCTTGTAGCGGTCATCGAAGCTGCCCTGGCTGCCAAAGTTGTCGTCGTAGCTGCCCTGGCTGGAAAAGCGGTCATCGAAGCTGCGCTGGCTGGAGAAGCGGTCATCGAAGCTTCCCTGGCTGCTGTAGAGGTCGTCGTAGCTGCCCTGGCTGCCGAAGAGGTCGTCGTTGGAGTTCCTGCCGACGCCGAAGGAGGCTCGGCGGCCGATCCGACCGGCGGAGGGTCGCCGGAGCGCGGAGGCGCGCACTACTCGGTACCGGAGGGCGTGCCCGACACCGGCCAGCGCGGCCAGCGCCGCCAGGACAGCGATCTGCCGACAGACAGCTGCCGTCAGCACGCAGCACTCAGCACTCAGCACTCAGCGCTCAGCACTCAGCACTCAGCACTCAGCGCTCAGCACTCAGCGCTCAGCACGCAGCACTCAGCACAAAGAGAGACAACTGTGGCGGAAAGAGCAGCTGCCACATGTGGAAATTACAGCGTTTTTGTACGGTGTACTTACCTACTTGTGATGCGTTATACACGTATTGCGCTATGCTACGTTGGCACGCCGAAAAAAAACGAGCAAATAACTTGTAATATATAGATCACACGGTTCGACATTTCTAACAACTCAAACTATCGCTGGCAGTTTTGGATGCACATTAAAGCATATGTGAGACCATAAACATTTACGCCTCAAAGAAATATCAAATAATTGCGTGTTAGTCAGAACACGGCACGACACTTACCGTCTTCATGGTGCTGCTGGTGTTGGAACACTCGAGAAGGCAATGGCTGGCCCTCGGCGTACCTGCGCTATATACCCGGCCACTTAGCAGGCAAATTAGCGCCTACAGCACACAGACGAGGAAGACGCGCATCGCACACGGGTGGGGCAGGCAGGCGGGAAACAAGACTCCGTAAAAACGCAGCCCTGTGGCGCGTCCATAGCGACCAACAACCGGGAAATAGGAAAATGGAAGAGGGAAGACGTGGCGCGAATGGATGAGGCGGCCCGCGTGTCGCTTCAATTCCTAACGGGTGCGGCTTCCTTACGTTCGGGGGAAGGTGGTTTCCAACGATCGGCCTCCAGACGCTTCCAGTAGGTACCGATCTTCGTTAGCCCACGCCTCGCACTTGACTGAGCCTCCAGTTGAACGCCATTGTCTTGAGGAGAGGGGGAGGGAGCGTTGAACGCACCACCGTAAGATTTTGAGAACCGGCGGCGAATTAAATATTGATTGAAGTTTATTATGTTTAACTGTCGAAAGAATCGGTCGATTTAACCCGCGCCCTGCTGGGGGGGGGGGGTGTTTGAACACCCCCCCTTGTGGTTTTTCGCGGATATCTCAAAAACGGCGGCGCGGAGCGCCGCCGTTTTTGGTACACCTTATCATACATCAATTCTACACATGTTGTGAAAATTTCAGACCAAGGTCATTCAAGGTCAGGTCACCAGGTCACTTGAAGTGACCTCACCTCATAAAAAGTTTCAATGTCTGTCATAGCTACACCGAGTGACCGATCGCTTTGAAACTTTCAGCGATTGCTAAGAGCAATAGCATGTACAAAATGTTTATCTCAGAATTATGATATCGATGACCTAAGGTCAGGTCAATTTTGCGACCTCCCCATTACAAGTCAATGGGAGAAAATTGAAATGCGCCTCTTTTGGAAGAAAGACATTATAAACATTCCCAAACACTGAATTACAAGTGTTTTAGACACACTGAACATGAAAATGGTGTCCGTGACCCCTGTTTATGCCCTGAGGTCATCTTAGGTCACGAATGGTATCTAACAGTTTTTCGCAAATAACTTTTGATAGAGGCATGCTAGAGCGATGAAAACGCCTTAGATGTGTTCAGCTCGACGATACGGATCGACTGATATGCAACATGACGCTTTCCGGTCAGGTCATGACCTTGACCTGAGGTCAAATTTTCAAGTTAACCTTTCAAGGTCAAGTTGTAGTTAATTCGATGCGTCTTGACGAGAGGAACACGATGCCGGTAAAAGTAAGCTCGTACAAGGCTTGGGTCAAAAGTTATTGCAGAAAAACTGTTTCCGAAAAAAATCGGCTATTTTTGTAGTTTTTGCCCCCTGCAGGCAAAACCGTTGACGTTAGGTCAAATCTGAGAGGATTACTCAGAAAGGACGTTAATAGGGCTATCGAATGCGCTTTTCCGCGGCGCTGTAGCTCTATTGGTTCCCGAGTTATGCGTTGGCTTCTTGGAAATTGTCGACATTCGACCTGGAAATCGGCGAAATTTTGCCTTAAATGACCTCTGGTGACCTGACCTTTGACCTGACCAAAAAATTGACTGAAGTGATTTCCTCATTGTTTTTGACGCTCTTTCGAACGCCGCCTTCCGCGTATCGCTACGTGGCCCAGGAGCCGAGTTAGAAGGGGGGGGGGTGTTCAAACACGGGCGTGGAAATCCAGGACCCCCAGCCGGGCGCGGGTTAAAAAAGCTATCAAGGTTTTAATGACTTCCTGATTTCTGAGTTTTCGACCGGAAATAGTCCATGGGCGTCGCCACTACTTCGACCACTACCGACAGTGTCCGTCGAAGTTTTGAAGTTCCAAAATCTTTTACGGTATGTCCGTACGAGTTTCGACGACAAAAAAATGAGCTTTTTGAACGTTAAAAGAGCATGAAATGCTGCAAAAGCTTAGGGGCGTCCAGGCTTAGGTGTTCTGGCATCTAACTTGTTAAACGGGATGGAAAATATCATTGTACATTAGAGCTGTCTTGGCAAGAGTTTTTGCAAAGCTTCGCAGTGCTACGCTAACGCGACGCCGATTTCACACACAAATAAAACGAGGGATGAGGGAAAACTTGTATTATTAGGGGAAAAATATTGCCACCCCAACATTGGCGAATCCAGGGCCTCGTTTCATAAAGCGAGTCCGTAACTTACGCCGCTTTTTGGGCTTGTATTGCAAGTGCACGTGAAGCGATAAATTTATTTCCCCTTCTCCCTTTTGTTCTTGCTTGTAAGATAAATAAATTCAACGATTCAAACTATCGTCATCGCTTCAAATGCACTTGCAATACAATACCAAAAACCGGCGTAAGGTACGCACTCGCTTTATGAAACGAGGCCCAGGGGGCATTTAGGGCAAACACACTTCCACCACATATCGATATCGACGATATCGACGAAGATCTGCGGTGTTCCGAGGATGAAACGAAAGCATAATTCTTAACATCTTTTATTAGGAAAAATCAGTTTTAAACTGCTCAAAATTGCGTAAGGAATCGAAATCATCGGAGTACCTATTTGGAGTTTGGAGAAACCTTTTTTAGGAACATGTCCCCCCCGCAGCGTCCAAGACTGCCTCTCTGGATCCCCCAGTGCCCCCCCCCCCACGCGAGCAAAGGCGTTCCTATGTTTTATCTAGTGGGTGCCATATGTCAATAATTACACCCTGATAGAAGCTCAGAGGCTTTGCCGTTAACCGTGATAAAGTGGAACGGATTTCGGATGTGTACTTACAGTGCAGTGGGCACCCATGTATTCGGTTCATTGTCATTATACAATACACATGCAATGCAGCGGCTTGGAAAAAGTACGGTAACAACAGGCACTATGAAAGGACGGGGTTTTCAGAGGGTCAACCCCCCCCCCCCCCCCGCCAGTAAAAATCCGTGGCGACACCGCTGCCTCTGACCGACCACGGACGATATCCTATAGTCCCGGTCGGATAAACCACCCCCAGTTTATAAACATCGAATTCCTCACCGGCGCCACGTCGACACCAGAGCTGAGCTTGGGCCTCTCAGCTGCCGCCGTGTCAGTCTGCCGCCAGCCTGCGCGCCGGTGGAAGCCGTAGTGCCCGGTGTGTCCCTCCGAGCCCACTGAGCGCCGGCCCGAGTCTGCCGCTGAGGCTCAGAGTCGTTCGTAGGTCGGGGCTGACCAGAGAGGCCGTCCCCTGTCGTCCTCAGAGGGTCGCCGCAGCCATGTCGCCCCTGCTGCCAGCAGTGGTGGCAGCTCTGCTGACGGCGGCAGCACTGCCAGCGCAGTGTTCTGTCCAGCAGCAGCAGCAGCAGCAGCAGCAGGTCGCAGCGGGACTCTACATCACTCCTGATGAGCTGTGGCAGCTTGTTGATCGTGCCGTCACCGCCGCCATTCAGCCGCTGACCATCAAACTGGACAGCCGCATCGACACGCTGGACTCCAGACTGGATGTGCTCGACGCCCGACTGGACAGAGTATTCGAACAGGAGCGCAAACAGGATTCTGAGATTGCAACGGTCAGGTTGCAACTGGGAGACGTTGAAAAACGTCTGAGTGATCACAACCTTCAACTACAAGGACAGCAAACCAAAGTTGACAACCATGAACTGCTGCTGAACGTGACGCCATCGCAGTTAGGAATCGCGGAGTCCCGACTCGATGAGCAGGTATTGCGACTCCAGAAACAGGACTCACTAATTGGTCGACTCAGATCGAGAATCGACTCGCATGATTCGCGCCTCGACAGCCAAGCGTCTCAGGTCAGCCTCTACGAATCCTCTATTGGTAAACATGCATCTCGAATTGCCGAGCTGAACTCCAGTCTGGAGACGCTTCAGAGCAGGACCGGTGGTCAGCGGGCGCGGATTGATGGGATCACCCTCCGCCTTGACGCCGCTCAGAATGCCTCGACCGATGGTGACTCTGTAGCCCGGGACTGCAGCGACCTACCGGTCGGCTCCCAGAGCGGCATCTACCTGCTGCGGCCCGGTCTGGGGGCCGCCGGAGAGGTGCCCGCCTACTGCGACCTGGAGACGGACGGCGGACGGTGGACCGTCATCCAGCGCCGGGCGGATATCGAGCCCCGCGAGGACTTCTACCGGAACTGGACCGCCTACAGGGAAGGATTCGGAGAGCTTGATAGCGAATTCTGGTGGGGCCTCGATAACATGTGGACTATGACATCACCAAGAGATCGGCGATATGAACTGAGGATTGACTTCGGGGATTTTCAAGGTGGACGGAGACATGCACTATACCAGAACTTCCGCATCTCCTCTGAAACGGATGGATATCGACTTCATGTTTTCAACTACAGCGGAAATGCAGGGGACTCGCTAACTTACCACTCAGGACAACGATTTACAACAAAAGACAGAGACAACGATGGTAGTAGTAAATCTAACTGTGCCAAATTCTATGAGGCCCCTTGGTGGCATAAGAAATGCCACTTTTCCAGCTTGAATGGCAAGTATCTTTCCGGTGAGCACAAACAAAAAGGTCACGGTGTCGTATGGGACGGCTGGCGGGGTAGCGACTATTCCCTGAAAACGGTCACCATGAAGATTCGTCCCACCAGGATAGCTCTGAATGATGGATAAACAGCGGCACGCCAAGTGATTCTCCACGCTTCTGTGCTTCATTTTGATTTTTGACTCGTCGTTGTTTTAAAGCGTTAAAAAACGCGCAGGAATTGATAGACGCAACGCACGTAAAATGCACGAATATGTAATATTTACCTGCGCCCCTCTGGGACTCCTGGATTTCCACGCCCTGCTCGGGGCGGAGGGTTGTTTAAACACCCCCTTCTAATTCGGCTCCTGGGCCATGCGATACGGGGAAGGCAACGTTCAAAAGAGCGTCAAAACTTATGACGAAAAAATTTCAGTCAGTTTTGTTCAGGACTCAGGTCAAAGGTCAGGTTACCAGAGGTCATTGAAGACCAAATTTCGCCGATTTTCAGGTCGAATATCTTTTTCAAACAAGGACAATATCAAACAAGCCGACGCATAACTCGGAAACTGATAGAGCTACAGCGTCCTGGAAAAGCGCATTTGATAGCCCTACTAGCGCTCCTTCTGAGTATCCCGCTCAGATTTGAACTTACGTGATATTGAAATGTTTTGCCTGCAGGGGACAATAGCTGCAAAAATAGACGATTTTTTTGCGGAAAGCTTTCTGCAATAACTTTTGATTCAAACGCTGCACGAGCTTACGGCTTTTACCTGCATCGTGTCCCTCTAGTCAAGACGCATCGAATGTACTACAACTAAAACTTGCCCTTGAAAGGTCAACTTGTTAATTTGACCTCAGTTCAAAGTGATGACATCCACCTCGGCATCGTCAAGCTGAACACATTTAAGGCGTTTTCATCGCTCTAGCATGCCTCTGTCAAAAGTTATTCGCGAAAAACTGTTAGATGCCTTTGGGACCTGGGATGACCTCAGGGCATAAACAGGGATCATGGGTGCCATTTTCACGTTCAGTGTGTCATGTTTACCTATGGACCAATAGATACATATTCGCGAAAAACCACAGGGGTCACCCCCCCCCCCCTTCCAGCAGGGCGCGGGTTAATAATGATGAATGAAATGATCCTGGCGGATCCACGGGGCACTTGGGGCAATGCTCCCCGCAGCGCCGAATTCAACAAAAACTTGTTTTTCGACAATAAAACGAAAACTTAACCTCTATGGAAAGAATCTAAAGTACGAAAATGAAGCGTCGGCTTTGAAAAAAAAAAAAAACGCTAGGGCGATCGCTTTGCCCCGGTCTCCCCTACTGGTGTTGAACAGTCGGATTAATTTTACAACTCTGTTCGTAAACAACAGATGACGGAAACTGCTGCCGATTCTCGTTCACTAAATCTCACCATCTCCGACAGCAGAGACAGGTGTAAAAATAAAGACATCAGGTGAGTGCTCAACGCGGTCAGACAGTCACCTCTCCATGACCTGTGAGAGCCTGCCATGGAGCAGTGTCCGCTCCCTGGGGGACGGGGGGTGACTACATCCGGCAGGCGGGCCTGCGGTCAACCACTTCCCTCATATCCGTGTCCAGTGGGAGGCATATAACACCGCCGCTGCAGGCTTACTCCCTACTCTGCACAGAGCTCGGTCCAGACAAGCGTCGTGGCGTGTCGTCTCGCTCACTCCCCGAATAGGACGTCGAGATTCGTTTCTCTGAAGTACCCCGGTGCATCACCAGATATCCAGCTCGCCGGAGAAAAGTCGTCACCTCTGCCGAAGTTCACCTCCTCTCTCAATCCCTCTTCCTCTCTATCCCTTCCTCTCTCTATCCTGTACCAGCCGTCGCGACAGCCATGCGCGCCTGCCTGCTAGCGACTACTATCTTACTATTATTCTTCCTCCCTCGCCCGTCAGTCGAGTACAGAGCCTACCGCCGCCACCCGGTCACATATCATCGCCACGTGGCCCCCGTCGCTTCTTCCCGTATTTCCTCCCTCGCCTCTGCCCGTCCTTTTCTCTCCTCTCCCCTTCTTCCCGCCTGCGCCAGCCCGACTGCCGTGTGCTTTACCAGGTGGATAAATCAGTGTTACAGCGACCAAGACTGCCACCAGAGAGGGTACCACTGCTGCCGCGCGCCCTGCAACAACCAGTGCCACAGGCTCGGCTAGACCGAGCTGACAACGTCGTCAGGTGGACGTGGCAATGTAACAACGGTTGGAAGTACCCTGTGACAAGTGCGACAGACTCGGCTAGACGGAGGAGACACATGTCATCAGGTGGAAGCATCAATGTAACAGCGTGTAGAAGTTCTGCAACAGCTAGTGTCTGAGACTTGGCCAGACGGCGGAGCTGACAAATGTGATCGGCTGGAAGTAACAATGTAGAAATGGTTGGAGTAAGCAGTACCATCAGAGGCAGCTGGATGGATGCGACGCACATCACGGGGGGACGGATTCTGTACACTCTGCTTCCACAAATGGGTACTCAGAGCTGACCAACGTCATCAGGAGGAGATACGGCGTCATCGGGTGGAGAGATGACGTCATCCGCTGGAGAAATGACTTCAACGAGTGGAGAGATGACGTCAGCGACTGAGAAGATAAGGTGTCGTCAGCGGACAATGCGGTGCTGGATTCGGAGCTTGACGGAGTGTGTGCACTGTGCAGCTTGTCGGGCTGCCAACGTCACTTCAGATAGAGATGTGTCATCAATTTAAGAAAACGTGACGCCTCATATAACGAGCTCACCAGATGTGTCACCAGCTTTTATAGGGTTCTGAGTTCTCCAATCAGAATGGTTTAACTGGCATTGTAAGACAAGTTGAGTTGACGGTAATTACCTGACTCGTGCCTTGGATCACACTGAATGCACTGGATCACACCCGCGTAATAAGGTTGTCGTTTTGTCTGGATGTCAAATCCTTTGGTTTATTCCTTATAATAAACTGTTCAGTATTGATTTGTTTTTGATGAGAGAAGCATCATTAATTTGAGCTCGCGAAATCCTAACTTTATAAACAAATCAGAAGCCAACTATCACCGTCGAGTGACCATTTGGCGCCATCATGTGCTCTTAACCCGTCCCGACTCCAGACTAAACAAACCAGCTCACTAGGGAGAGTTTATGTAAAAAACAGCATGGCGCCTGCACGATCAGAGCCGCAGCTTATGCGCGCGGCAGACACGGTTAGAGTGGCCAGTTGAGCGCGGCGGACGGGCCCGGAGCCCGGACTAGAAGAACACACAGTAGATAGAGCGCCTGAAATGATCGATGTTCGAGACCGGTAGCCGGGAACGAAGCCCTGAAGCCAACCTGAAGCGAAGTCGCTTTAATTAGCGTTACGTGCATCCTGCCTCTATCGCCGAGAAGCGATTCGGCGACGAGAGTGATGCGTTAGTCCGGCACGACCCGACGAGCATGTCACGTTAATAGAGCACACGACAGGCACAATATCGTCAAATAACGACGCAATATCGAAGGCGCGTTATAAATGTACAACACTTCAGGTGGCATACAGCCGCACACCTACGCAATAACAAACACAACCGCACATCTCGCACAAACATAGAATTAGACAAACATACTTTTCAGATATAACTGAAATTTCCTTGTCAGGAAACACACGCTCCAAGTGTCAGTTTTTGTCCCCTGACTTTGATGTTTTGGTGGCTGTTCTGGGTGTTTTATTATATATTTATTATTATAGGGCTGTAGCGCAAAGCTACAGCCCTTTGAAGCTTGCTTTGAGGATAGCTCATGAGGGACTCCTGGGCATGCTATAGATATGACATTGCCAGCCTAATCAATGCCTTTGCCCTTTTCGTAATTAATTCGTCGCAATTGAGCTACATTATGAAAGACTGCGACCGTATGTTACCATGCGACGTTAGATTTTCATAAAAAGCCCCCAAATAGCGAAACCAAACAAATTCATCATTTTGAGCCAAGTCACTCAACACACGCACGCCTCAAGCGAATTCACTAACCCGCACATGGCCGCTCATCCTTTTCAACGTCACACGCGGCTGCCTCGTGACCCAAAATCACCCCTTCCGCTCAGCTGAGTGACCCCTAGCACACCAACTCTGAGCACCTTCTCCTTTTTCCACATCAGCGCACCGTCCTGCCTCCCGACTGTACGTCTTCCTGGCCGGGGGCGCTGACTCTGCGACTCGCTGACTCCGTGACTCGCTGACTCGCTGACTCGCTGACTCGAGTCTACATCTGCACCCGTGCCAGGCGAGTCTCCAACTCCGCGATCAATTCGTCGGTCCTCGCCGATTGACCGCGGAACTTTCCCGGCTCCGGCCCGATCATTTTGATCAGCTGAGGCACATCGTTGTAGGAGACCTGGCGACAACAGAGAGAGATACAGGTGAGAGGGAGGGAGAGAGAGAGAGAGAGAGAGAGAGAGAGAGAGAGAGAGAGAGAGAGAGAGAGAGAGAGAGAGAGAGAGAGAGAGAGAGAGAGAGAGAGAGAGAGAGAGAGAGAGAGAGAGAGAGAGAGAGAGAGAGAGAGAGAGAGAGAGAGAGAGAGAGAGAGAGAGAGAGAGAGAGAGAGAGAGAGAGAGAGAGAGAGAGAGAGAGAGAGAGAGAGAGAGAGAGAGAGAGAGAGAGAGAGAGAGAGAGAGAGAGACCACGACTTATTCGGAGCCCCGGTAGGCCAGGCCACTCAGCGACAAAAACGACCTCCCATGTCTTTAGGATCTACCCTCCACCAGCCAGCCCCGACATGCTCATGGGAACCAAGAAACGCATGGTTAGTTCTGAGGACAGATTGGACGGATGGCTGTTAGCCACTCTGTGACCACCCTTGACGTAAGAACTCAGAAACGCCACTACTGTAGAAAGCTGTTCAGTAACGTCTCAAGCGCTACCCGAAACCAATGGCGCCCGTGCGTCAAAGGTTCACCAAGGCACTATTGGAAAAGAAACGTTACACGAAACAGCTATAGAGTGGCGCTGCAAATTGACCTGCAAATAGAACTGCACAAGTGGACAGAAAGGTTCACACACGAAATAATATGACGTCCGATTTATAGCGGGAACTCCCAGCGGCATATCCGTTCACAAGAGCTAATCACAAGAGTTTCTCAATAGAAAACCTTTTTGGAAACCCCGCAGAAAAACACATGGCAATTAACGTCTTCTTAATTTGCCGCGCATTGGCGATTGAGCATTACTGGGGCTTGCTTTCCGCACGTCTCACGTACCTATTTTAGAAGCAATAATGTTACATAAAAGTGTCTGACGCAAGTACTCATATTAGGGACACACTCTATAAAACATGTCATGATTGATTATGATGATTATATGCCATATACAGAAAAGAGCCGATCCTAAAATATTTCATCGAGCATGGCGCCCAGCCAGCATCGAGCGACATTTTTTTATTATCATTAGGTACCGTAAGGTGGGGCTATTTGAGACAGTGGGGCTATTTGAGATAGTATTTAAAATTGCTATAACATAAAAACCACCTAAAATTTATGCTTATTTTTTTCCTCAGGCGATTAACTGCTTGATTCCATACCTCCCTGAGCAAAAATATCACACAAAAATCAAACGATCTTCATTTTATAGCGATTTTAAATACTGTCTCAAATAGCCCCACTGTCTCAAATAGCCCCACTTTACGGTACTCCTGGTAGCTGAGGAAATGAGAGGGACGGTATTCTTTTTCAGGTTGCTGCTGGCAGATAAGAGGGGCGGTATTATTTTTAGCGTTGCCGCTGGTTCGTGGGATGGACGCTACTTTTTTCAGGGCTGCTAGCTGATAAGGTTTCTCAAGTTTCACCAGTGGGAATAAGCTTAAATACCTTCAACGTAGATGACACGAATACTTTTGGGGGTAACTATAACTAAGTTTGGAAGGTGTCTTCGGGCAAGGGAGTTGTTGTTAAATACTGCACCTCACACTCACCACACGGCAAGCACCATTACGCCTGTGTCTGATTCACGACAGTCAACGTATAAATAAATTTCAGGGCACCATAAATCTCAATAGAAGCTTAATCATGCTAAGACAAGTTTGGAGCGCTTCCAGGTCATACACGGTTATACACACATAAAAATATTAACACCGTTAGCGGTGTAATTGCACAGTACATATCTGAGCACTTGAGGAAAGTTAATTTAGTCCCTTCCCCGCTTAAATTACTCGCGCTTCCAAATGAACACCAGGAAGAAGGTAATAGAACACTGTTAGGAGGGTTGGGTGTTTTGCTACATGTAGTAAAACACCCAACCCTCCTAACAGTGTTCTATTACCTTCTTCCTGGTGTTCATTTGGAAGCGCGAGTAATTTAAGCGGGGAAGGGACTAAATTAACTTTCCTCAAGTGCTCAGATATGTACTGTGCAATTACACCGCTAACGGTGTCAATATTTTTCTGTGTGTATGAACGTATCAAACACAGGGCTTTTGGTGGCCATGGACTTTGGAGGCCGCCAGTAAGGAATACTTGATAATAGAATGGTTGAGTAAGGAATGATTGGGCATTTAAGCTTATGCAGCTGGTATATGTAGCCTATGCAGCAATGTCAAAGTACGATTACAAAAAGGCATTTGGTCATTGACAGAAGTTCAGAGCCGACCCCGTTACAACGGTCTCTAGAGTTCCTCCAGCCAAAACTGCTGTGGGGTCGGCAGCCAGCGCCGATTGCGTTACAGCGTCTCCCGAAGTACGGCCCTCAAAAGAGTGGTTGGTTAGCCTATGTGCTTTTGGTGTAATAACTTTAAATGACAGAGACACTCCTGTAAAATGACTCAATTGAAATGAAAAGAGGGTTCGTGCACACATTTCGGCAGTGATTTTCAACAGCCATTAGACGTATTCATCAATGCAGATCGCTTATTGTGATGTTGGCAACCAACCACTAAATACCTGGAGGGCCGTACACGGACTCACGTCAATTTGAGTCCACGGGACATTAACCTGAGAGTCGGTTTTTGCAAACATGTTCTGGTATGATTTCCAGAGATATGGCTTTTCGTTAGCTTCTTCAGACAGCTGCCTGCCACAATCGGACCGCGTCGCATCAACCCAAAGGCAATAAATCTGAGAAGATTGTCAGATTCTTTCCTTCCAGTGACGAGCAAAAAGACCCGCAGATACGCCAAGTAGAAGAGTAATGCACTGGTTCAGCTTTTCATGACCTTTAGAAGATTGTCCAGGGGCCAGAATTAGAGTTTGAGTAATGTGTAGAGTGGTAAGCTCCACGTAAATCTCAGGTAAGCCGATGAGTACAGATAAATCCACGTCAGTCTGCGGATTTAGCGTCTCAAGAACTAAAAGTCGCGTGGTCGGATATTGGCATACAGCCATCACTCGGCCATCGACGCCCAAAATAGCACATCACTCCTATCCTTTATCGATCCAAGTAGCTGCGCGCAACAACTCGACCAGTCAACAGCAACAGCTGCAGCAGCCGTAGCAGCAGCGTAAGTGGACAACTGATAACCGAAGTAATACGTCATGTACAGGGGAAGGTGACACCGCTACGGGCGCTCTTCCAGTTGAAAGTCGATTTGAAATAGAAAAACGCCATGCTGTTGAAAGTTATTGGCAGTGAACAGCCAATAAGCTGGCGAGATACTAATTTATGCATCGATCACTTAAAATTGCATAAACACTACGGCAATAGACATGCTAGGTAATAAGTATGCCGGACATATGAATATTAAATCTATGTTACGGATGGTTAATAGACCTGGTTTAACTCGTAATGAGGTAAAAGTGTGTTTTAGATCACGTTTTTCAGATAGTTGTAGTCCGATTCCTCATAATTCTTGACACGAGCGCGCAAATATAAGGATACCATAATAACTGAAAGACCAAAATAACAAATTTTCAAACCATTCATAAACTTTTCGAGGCGCGAAGTAGAACCACCTAGGCTACTTCACTACCTTTGAATGACGCATTTTGACATAAATAAAATATACAATACATTTCCTTCAACTTGCATGTAGGGAATTTTCCTCCCGGGCATGAATAACGACCTGTCTGGACATCAGGAAGCTGACATTCAGGAACCGGATCCCTCAATATGAGGCCTTCGATAGCACGCTCAACATAATCTTATCACAAAGGCCTAACGCAGTGTCATTCCCGATAAGCCCCACGTAAACGGACACCCGGCACGGCTCCTTTCCTCTCTCCTACCTCCCTCCTCACTCTACTCTCGTCACTCACCTGGGCGAATTTGGCCAGGGCGCGCATACACCTGTAGAGTCGCTCCTCTGGTGGCGACGTCTGGAAGTACTGCAGAATGGCCATCGCCAGTTCCGTGGCCACGTCATCAAACACCTGGCGGCCAGTGTAGGAAACACTACTGTCATGGCCGCTCATAGATGGCGACACTACAACATCGGACACCTGGCGGCCAGTGTAGGAAACACTACTCTCATGGCCGCTCATAGATGGCGACACTACAACATCGGACACCTGGCGGCCAGTGTAGGAAACACTACTGTCATGGCCGCCCATAGATGGCGACACTGGTCACCTGGCGGCCAGTGTAGGAAACAATACTGTCATGGCCGCTCATAGATGGCGACACTACAACATCAAACACCTGGCGGCCAGTGTAGGAAACACTACTCTCATGGCCGCCTAAAGGTGGCGACACTGTCACACTATCGGACACCTGGCGGTCGGTATGGAAAACACTACTGCTGTGGTCGACAATAGAGGGCGCGACTGCCGAAGACTGTAATGCACAAAGGATACAGACGCACGATCGGACAGCACCGTGAAATGTATTGCGCTTGTTTTTTTCTGAATATTTACGATAATTACCTCAGAATGGGATACCGAACGATTTACCAACAGGTAAATCGTTCACATTAACGTTTACCTGTCACCTGAATCATTCACAAGAAAAATCCGCACACCGCTTGATCATGGATTACACATACGAGCACTGATTGTCATTGAAAACCATGGCATTTTATGCCCCATAAAATCTTAAGTATGCGATGAAAACGAAAAATGCTGAGATTGATCTGTGACACGAAACAAATAATACAAATAATGATGCTTCGAGACATTATCTAAGTTGACTGTTACGGCTTATTCCAGGAATACAACCATTAAATCGTAATTATATAAGAGAAACTGTTGTTAGCAGGGATGCGGAGCCGTGGAAATTTCAGACGGCTCCGACTCCGGCTCCGGCTCCGGAGAAAAAAATCGGCTCCGGCTCCGGCTCCGGCTCCGGGTGAAATGTCATGGCGGCTCCGGCTCCGGCTCCGGCTCCGAGTAAAATGATCCGGCTCCGGCGGCTCCGGCTCCGGCGGCTCCGGCTCCGGCTTCTACCAAGTAGGGTAGTGTGGGGTAATTTGAGCATATTTTTACGTCTTCTCCCTTGTACCAACTTCCAGCTCAACCCTGGATGAAGAAAAACTGTTTCAGTAGCGCATGTGTCACTTGCTTTTACCATGCAAGCCTCATTTTTGGACGAGCCGAGCATACCTTGAATAGCATAGCATCACTTCTCCACCAAGTCACGGTGTGTTCAAATTGCCCCACCGTGGGGTAATTTGAACATACTGCCTTTACCTGCCATAAAAACGATAGTCTCGCCAGCACCGATGCATTGTTTGACCCATAAACGAATAGGTAGAGCAATTCTAAACATACCTTCATTTGAAAATCAACACAGCAACAAAAATAACAGTTGCAGAGTATCGATATCTGCACGCTGCACACAGGTCAGTTGAAAGAATTCGCCTCTCTTCAATTAACAGGACGTCTATCATCTCCGTTCGATAAAAACTCTACCAAACCTTACTTCATCTGTTATAGTGGTGCCAATCGGAACCTGGACATTCGGAGTTCCGATTCTTTATTATGTCCAATTCGGAATTGATTGCACAAAGGTAGGTATAGTAGTCTGGACAACATTGGACGATGGCCTGCCACACTTGAGCATTTTTATCAAGTAATCGTGCGTAGCATTGCTTGGCGAATGGAAAGCTTGTTAAGCTCTCAATGTAATGAACACTTTTCGGCTGGTAAAATTACGTGATAAGCAATATAAATGACGGTTTTGAGTGTTGATAGCTGCATAATTTTCGGACATATTTGGACAAATAGTTGACTTTAACATTTTTGGACGGAAAATCAACGAAAATGCCGGGCATTAGACGGAAATTAGACGTAAATTTTCGAAAACTGGCATCACTTATCTGCTACTGCTTTGGGTCGAAAATATTGGCAAAAAAAAAACTGGGAGAGCTGTTTTTTCGGAGCTATCCCTGTTTTCATTGAAATTCTCACACTATGTTCAAATTACCCCACACAAAAAGTTATTTTGCCATTTTCAAAAACAGGGTTCAAAAGCAAATTTCTTGGATTGAAGACACTGATTAGGTCATTGTACAACAAAAGCTGTTACGTATTAGGCACTAGCAATGCAAGATTTTGCGCTACAATGAAGTTGCAATGACGTGTTGTTAGGCGTTTATCCTTGCGAAATTATTTTTTACACTGTGCGTCAACATCTTCATTCCCTGAAACTTTAAACCCCGTTCATATGATAGCCCTTTTAGTTACGATAATTTCTCTCATTGGTCTTATTGTCATGCCACTTATGGATTTTCCGTAATTTTGTGTTATTCACACTATGTTCAAATTGCCCCACATGTTCAAATTACCTCACCCTACCCTACATCCCCTATGCGATCAATTAAATACGGGTGGAATACCACATTTTGAATACCACATTGTTTTACGCCTTGAAGGTGGTGGCAGCATTGCTTTGAATGCGAGGCGAGGTGTAACCGTGTATGCGAACACTGAAGGTAGAGAACACTGACCAGGACCTCGACGGTCCCTACTGTCAAACCGAACTAGGTAAATAATTGTTTCCTCTAAAGAAAAGGAGCCGGAGTCGCCCCCTTTTTTGACGGCTCCGGCTCCGGCTCCGGCTCCGGGCTACATTGTTTCACGGCTCCGGCTCCGGCTCCGGCTCCGGGCAAAATATGCCGGCTCCGGCGGCTCCGGCTCCGGCTCCGGCTCCGGCTCCGCATCCCTGGTTGTTAGGACACTGGCATGCGAGTGTCTTCACGGCAACAGCACAGCAGGGGCCAGTCTTACCTTGTTCAGGCTGCCAGCGGGCATCATTTTGCGCATGTTCATGTTAGTTTTCAGTTTCTGCCGGGGAGAGAGGGGGGAGAGGGACGGCAGAGTACCGGGCGCACGCACACGCAGGCCGTTACGCGGTGCGGCACGGCCGCTGGGTAGCTCGTTAGTAGGCGAAATTGACATAGAGCTGGCGTGATTAGCGGAAAATTTAGACAGATGACGTGAAATTAATTAGGAGGCATGATTAAATTACACGAGATACTGAGGGATTAGTGTGCTTTTTATTTAAAAAAAGTTGCGAAAAATCGAAACAAATGTTGTTCCAGATGTAAGGATCGTTTTAACAGTTGGTTGGTTATAACGCTAATGAAGTTGCATAAAATAGTCAGGCGAAGCCAACTGACAACGTCTTGGGGTAAAATGTAAGGCCTGAAATCCTGAAAGAAGAATTGGGATCAAAAGTGGCCTATCATCCAGCAACAACAGAACGAACGAAAAATGCAAACCGGAGTTAGCAGACAATACCACTGCAATATGACTGAATACAGATATAGACAAAACTGACTATTATTGGTGCGAAGGACGTCACTCAAACCCAGGCTGACAGCATATTATGGCATTTATAATCATATTTTCGCTGTATTTACTTGATGTCACCATCAGCGTTGGAATGGCTCTCGTTAGACAGCACCACTCCGAAAGAAAGAAAGAAAATACAGATAAATGCTGGATTAGATTTTTAGGATGTTCGAACGGCAAACGTACAACGTTGTACACTACCATATTTACGAGGCATCGGCATGACAAGATAATGTAACACACATAGATTATCCGGTTAATGACCATGTGCTGGTGCCGAATAGAACAATCCGTGTTCCGCCCAGAGGTTTGAGTGACGTCTTCTACCGGGTGGCGGGGAGCGGACGGACGGGCTGGCGGCGGTATCCACCTCTACTCAAACGGGTAGAACGTCTACTCGTGCCGGTAGAAGGCGATACTGACCACGGTTTTTACCTCCTTCACCGCCAGGTTGTACATGATGGCCGTGCCGCGGTCCTGCATCTCGGCGCTGTCGGCCAGCAGCGCGTTCACTGCCACCTGGCGACGGAAAACAAAAGTACAGGTTCACCGGCCGCCGGTAGAGTGATTGACGGATTTCGCAGCCGCGCGTCCAGGGGCTGACAAACTAAATTACTTGATAACAAAAATGGAAACATCGTAAAAAAACGCTACAATATCCGGGCATAGTTTGCACTTTAGGAGCTTCAACAGCCCCATATATAAATCAAAAGTCAATGAAACATACTACGACTCACTTCTAATTACTGTGAAACCTAATACATTTACGCCAGGTCAGCAACTTATGTAACTACTAACTATATACGAGTCATCCCACGCCCTCTTTCCCACGCAGTACCAAGCGCCAAAGCCGGCGATGTGGGCGGAGCTCTAACCCGAGCCCTGCGCCGGTGCCGAGCCCACTGACAGACCCAGGGCCGCCCCTAGCTCTGACCGCGGGACAGTACCTTAGTGGTGACTCGAATGTTGGAGATGGGCATGTTGTTGTGCGGGCTCTGCCACTCGGAGATGTACAGGAGCCACTCGCTGCTGCCGTTCTGGTCAAACATGTTGGCAAACTGAAATACATGGACAGTATTTGATGTAACCGATAGTCTGTGTTCTGCGTTAGTCGGAACAAATCCATCATGAGCATTGAGCATACACCTCAAAGCGGCCTTCAATGAGCCGGTAGCTGTGAAACCTTTCCAAGCAGTGCAACAGGTAATATAGCATACTGAATGAGGCCTATGTAAATTAATTCTAAAGATCGAGATCCTTACTCGATTTTCAAACGAAGTCGAAGGCCGGGTTGTGTTGTCACTCCCACCACTGAGCTGAAACCCAGTATCTGACCCTTCCTCCCCTCCTCTATCGGTGACTCTCTCACCATCAGCGACAGAGCGGTCTGTTCCTCAGTAGGCAGCCGGTCCACGTCATCGGCGTAGTTCATGATCACGTGCTCACGCCGGTCCTGCGGGCACACGAATACGGCGCGGTCACGTGACATGACAGGGATGGCCGACAGTTAGCTGGAACCGACTGGCCGTGTCGTGAAGGGAGGACCACAGTGAAAAAGAAATACACAAACATGGCGACCAATAAGTTCTATGAGATAATAAATAAGTTTGTCATGTCAGCTGCAAAAATGAACAAAAGCGCATGAAAACGAGATTAAAATGTGAAACACAGAATACCATTAATTTACGCTTAGGCACTGTAAAGTACCGACAAAATATTCTTTTAAAAATAAAGGGTGAAGTGCTGAAACAGGGACTTTAACGGTTCAGGAATCAAAAGGGGACGAGAGAGACTTTGGCTGATTCATCGTCTATCTTCAATAGTATCCACTATCCAGTCCTTAATCACGTTCGGCAGACATTACATAAATATGCGGCTGCCTTCCATAGCAGCCTAGAGTATCATGCCGTCGAATTCACCGCTACTGAGACGCGCAGCACTCCGAGGTCGCTTCGATTCCCCATTAGTTACCGAGTATCCATCGACTGTTGGTTACATCCAGTGCCCTATCGTCTGTAACATGCAACGCGAACCCCCGAACGGGCCACTCGCCACTTAGCGTCAATGTGGACGCTAAGGTGCTCATTATAAATACAACACGTGGAAACTTGCGACCCGCTTCCGCTTCCGTGCTTCCTCTTATGACCTATGTCATAATCAGCCTACCAGCAAAAAGCGCAATAAATCAATTGCGGCACTTTACTTTAACCACAACAACCATAATCCTAACCGACCAATCAAGTGGTGAGTATCCCTACCAAAAGTGTTGTGTCACTTCCCTAATACCACCAGTACATGTCCGAATCGACCACCGATAGGTAAATAGACCCCCGCCCCGCCATCGACCTCAGAAAAGCGTCCAGTGCCGTCCGGGAGGCCTTCATAACCGCGCTGTCATATCTCCTCCCTCTCCAATGGACGGCCGGCAGTCAATACGATCATGAAATGAATTGACCCGGGGTCGATAGTGCCCTGCGATCGACTGGACGGGCGGGCGGCTGGAACGCTGCGAGAAGGTGTCTGCCGGTTAGTGGAGGCTCTCTACGCGGGGTGGAGTAAAGACAGCGCAGGCGGAGCCTGCTGAATAAAGGAGAGATCAAATAAATGTGTTCCTCTGTTTCGGAGAGGGTGAATAGCGTGATGTCATGTAAGGGCCATGTCATGTAATCATACGATGATGATGTGGGGTTGTTATAATGTGAGTTGGGTAAACTGGGCATGATTTACATTGACTTGTAAATGCTCATGTTGTAGTTTATCATCTTCGTTTCTAAATACAATAAACAACTAGAAGCCGAGAAAAGAACGCTTAAAGGCAAGACTAGTCGCAAAAACTTGAAGACTTGCATCGGATTTGGTATAGTTTGTTTGGGTTGGATTGGGATTGACTTGGAAACTGAGTCTTGAGATGGTTGGGATGGTTGGGATGGGTAGAGTCTGTCTGAGTCGTGCCGCATCACCTCAGCTCTCGGCTAAATAGCCGCAGACACGGCTGCTACGTCCTTACGTCAACACCAGGTGCAGGAGCAGGATGAAGTCCTTATGTCCTTACCTGGTGCAGAATTAGGAGTAAATAATCGTCACCTGGTGCAGGATCAGGATGAAGTCCTTATGTTCTTACCTGGTGCAGGATCAGGATGAACTCGTCCTTACATCATCACCTGGTGCAGGATCAGGATGAAGTCCTTATGTCCTTACCTGGTGTAGGATCAGGATGAATTCCTTACGTCCTTACCTGGTGCAGGATCAGGGTGAAGTCCTTACGTCCTTACCTGGTGCAGGATCAGGATGAAGTCGTCCTTGGTGGTCGCCACGGACAGCAGGTTCAGCAGGTGTACACGTGCCGCCGGAGGCAGCGACTTGTCGTGCAGAATCCGACCTGCAGCCAGCCAGAGGTCAGGTCAGGTCAGATCAGGTCAGAACACAACCCGCCGGAGGGTAGGGACGATAGCAGTCGTGTCAGGTTGATGACGGTTATCTCCGTCATTAAAACACATGTTCAAGATGTTATCCTAACGTGGTTACGGCAAACTGGTAAGCGAATTATGTATTAATCTGAAAAGAAGTATCCGAAATTTTCAAAGGAGATGTCCACTCCTCATTCAATTCAAATTTTCATTATACGTTGATCCCTTCAAATTTATCAACGCTTTACTATTCTAACAAATGAGAGAAGCGATAACACGAATCCACAAAGTTGACTCGAGATCCGGTCGAGGTTCCACCTACCCAGGAAGTTGATGAAGTTCTCTCCAAGGGCCCAGGCTCCCTCGTCTTCCAGCATGTACATCTTGAGTTCCTTGACGTTCTGCAGCTCCTCGTCGCCAAGCTGGCCGTCCACGGCCTTCAGGAGGCCGTCAAACTCAGCCTTTACCTGAGGAGGGGGACCACGTCAGACGTAAGTTCGGCTAGCGTTAGCTATACTGAGTTCGACTGTTATGAAGCGACCACGTCAGGCGTCAGGTTCGGTTAACATTAGCTATACTGAGTTCGACTGTTATCAAGCAACCACGTCAGACGTCGGGTTCGGTTAGCGTTAGCTATACTGAGTTCAACTGTTATCAAGTTGAACGTCAGCGTTAGCGATATACATAGGATTCACTGGATTCACCTATGACAAATCCTATGACCAGCAGCTTTGTCCAACGTCAGGCCCGGTTAATGTGATAAATATTGGGGGCGATTCGATGCATAATCTTATCGGAAGCTCGGCTGTTTGCTCAGGTAAACACAGGAAACGGACGGGCCAAACAAGACCAACACAGAACGGAAGTGTGTACTTATAGTCACAAAGCCCAGTGGATGAGGACCGTATAACTATAACGATCACGAGCTGCGGTCGCGCAGCACGAAAAACACAGAAACTCATTTGATGGATTGCTTGACCTTTTCGTCGTGTGTATATACAGTTGAAACGTATATTCATGGAATAAAGCTCTAAATATGATCCCCAAAAGGTCGTTCTACATATATTTATAATTAAGCACGCAATTCTTGATAACAGCCTCACTAGGAAGTGTGACTTTTCCTTTTATAATTTCACTTGCTGAAGAAATTGAAATTTCAGTCAATTTCTTGGCGCTAATTAGCGCATAGCGGCGACACTGCGAAAATCCATATGAAGCGTTTGCGCTTTGAAACGTTTTGAAGTGAAGCATTTGTTATGAAGTGCGTTTGCCGCACATACATATATCTTTCAGGCGATATTCAGAAGTTGCCACGACACAGACATCACGACACACCATCCCAGTCCCCCGCCGCTGATTCAGATCAATGACGTCACAGAGGGTCCACCAATAGCGGTCCGGGCCTCCTCTGCCTATCGGGGAGCTGATAAGGCCGATAGGTAGGCGGCAGTTCTCCGCGGAACGACCGACCGGACGGGGCGTGTTCAGGTGTGACGTGTAAGTGGAAAGGTGTGACGAGACGGGTTCACTCAGTGTGACGGTGTGATGTATTTTCATAGTGACGTTATGATGACATGTGATGTGATCACTGTCCAGCATTTACTGCAACACTTGGCAGAGTGACGATTAAAGAAGTCACGAAGCAGTAAGTGCCAAACAAGTGTCTACTTCACAGTTGACTTTAATGGGACGGTAAACAGGTGGGTACAGCGAGTAATTCTGGGAGCCACTCTAGCCGGAACTCGCGGTTAAACTGTTTGACTAATGATGGACTAATGAAGCGTAGACCTCTGTAAAGAGTCTACGAGTGAAGACGTTAGAATGTTACCGTAGCTCTGCAACTAAATACCAGCAGAACTTGATTGTTCAGACAGAAACAGATGCCCTTTGCTGTTTGAACTTACAATTAAATAATTGACCCGAGTATAACAAAGGTGGGGCTGTTCGAGCTGACTGGCTACGAGCTGCAAAGACATGTAATCCACTGGCATGGGAAAGGTGTCCATAGACCTCTGTACACCGAGATCTAGGTATTGACATACTCGACATACTTGGATAGCGATAAAACTGGTATGTCAAAATTGTTTGGTGCGTCAGCTACCACAATCGTAACTTCCAAAGCACCCGTTTCAATAATGATAGGTATACTGGAATGAATAAACTCTATTCCATGCAGGATAGCGATAAAGGTGAGGTGACAGCACCTGTCCTAACTCAAACCTACATTCAACAAACCGTTTGTCCACAGGTCAACCCAGTACACGCTCAAGCTTTCTCGTCTTTTGGAAGTAAGTTCGAGTGTGTACAGACGCAGACTAAGCAATGCTAGCAGAACCCATGGCCAGAAGTACCGAATGTAGGCAACGGACCATCAAAAAGCGCCAGTAGCTGGTGGATAGCGCTTGGTGTGAAAGGGAGCTCTGCAGAGAGTCGGGTGTAAATCTTCAAGAAGCTGAGAGTCGCCTGAAGTCAGACTAGGCCATTGCCGAATATTACCGCAAGTCGCCAGGAACCAGTGAAGGCGGACAGAGGTCAAACGCAGCGATGAGGCGCGTTAAACCGAAGCCGGGGCACGCCAGAGTCGATGTATGACCGTCTCGGATCCCCACTCGCATACACTGGCGCTGCTCCGTCGGCGCTGCGCGATGGTGGCGCCATGCGCCGGCGGCGGCGGAAAGCGAAGACGCGCGCTGCTGCTCCTAGTCAGCGCCACTGTCGCGCTTCTACTCTTCTACGCCTTCTACCCCGCCTCTCAAGACCTCACACACGTGTTCTACCCGACTGCAGACCCAGACCAGCTCTCTGATCTCTACTACAGCTGGGAGACCCACACCCCTCACGGTCTCCCCGCTCCGCCGCGTTACCCAGTCTGGATCCAGGCCACTCCTCTTCCTCCCATCACCCCTGACCGAACCATCTTCCTCCTGGAAACCTCGGGCCGATCCGAGATCCGGCCCCGCGAGTGGTGTGCCGTCGAATCGGCCGCTCGCGCCCACCCGGGCTACACAGTCCTCTTCCTGACAGCCACAGCACGGGTGAGGCGGACTGCCCTGGCCGCAGCGGTCCTGGCGTTCAACAACACACGGCTGGCGCAGCTCGACTTCGCCGAGGTTTTCGAAGGAACGTTGCTCGAGGAGTGGTACCGGTCGCGGGCGGTGCTCCGCTCCTGGTGGCAGGCGTCTCATATGAGCGACGCACTGCGGTTCGCGCTGCTGACCAAATACGGCGGCATCTATCTGGATACGGACGTCATCGTACGCCGCTCCATGGCAGGTGAGAACGACGACGGAGAAAGTTACACAACGTAGCTGCTGTTTATAGGGGGTTTTTGGCGCCGTGAATGCTAGAATTATTTTGCATCTATCTGCAAACATGAACAGACATTTCGCATATCATCAGGTTGAGAAGATTCAACTCGTAAATCTTCAATATCAAATATCAACCCATATCAGGCAAATACCAACCAATGACGAAAGCTTTTCGCGGGGCCAAATCAACTCCATGAGGCGCCACTGGCAACAGCAACTGTACGTTCATTTTAGCACATAGCTCTGCGCGAGTGCTGAAACAGGCCCGAATGATTGTTTGTGTGACATTTGGTTGTCTTGCCACTGCACTGACTGAAATCATCAGTATTTAAGAGTATGGACCCAGAGTCTGAAATAAAGCTTATCTATCTATCTATCTATCTATCTATCTATCTAACTCTTCTTACATGACAATTCGCACCTCCTTTATCACCCTCTGTCCGTTTTCAGATATGGACGACGGCGCCGGCCTGGAGTCGGAGCACAGTGTGGCCGCGGGGGTGCTGAAATTCGCCCGCCGCTCGGCACTGCCCGGCCTGCTCGCGGCTCGGTTCGTCGAGCAGTATGACCCCGGGGACTGGGGTGCCAATGGACCCGGGGTAGTGACTGCCGTGTTGCTCCAGCGGTGTGGGATAGGAGGACTGCCGCTGCCGCCCTCGCACTGCGGCGACTTCACCATATTCGGCAGGTGAGGGGACAGTGGCCGGGAGAGCGCGGGTTCGAGTCTCAGTTGGAGAAAAACACTGCATGGACGTATGAAAAACACAGTTACCATTGGCAATCTTACATTGCAGCAATCAAGGTTACCAGCCAACGTGCCAGTGAATAGAATCTTAAGCCTCAGCAGCAACAGCTTACTACACATACGACTGTGACCGATTTCATATGTGTGTAATGTCCAATATCAGAGCTCTGTAGAAGTGTGAAATGTTTGGTGTCTACCAGCCAACCCTTCCCCAGAGCCGTAACAACCCTCCCTGACCACTAACACCCCTCCCCTCCCCTCTCCGGCAGTCGCCGTTTCTACGGCGTGCCGTGGCCCGAGTGGCGGCTGCTGCTCACCCCCGCCCAGCGGGACACGGTCCTAGAGCGGGTCGATGCCTCGTACGTGGTGCACACGTGGGGGCTGCACATATCGGGCCACTCGGCACCTCCCGGATCGGCGCTGTACCAACTGGCTGAGCAGCACTGTCCGCTGGCGCTGGCTGCCAGCGGGAGCAGGTTCTGATGGAGAGCGCTGACAGCTGGCAACAGGTTCTGATGGACAGCGGATTGTCATTGGAAGCAGGTTTTGATGAAGAGTGCTGTCAGTGGCAGCAGCACAGACTGTCCGCTGGCGCTGGCTGCCAGTGGGAGCAGGTTCTAATGGAGAGCGGACTGTCAAAGGCAGCAGGTTCTGATGGAGAGCACCGCCAGTAGCAGCAGGCTATGATGGAGTGTCAGTGACAGCATCTTCTAATGGACAGCACTGTCAGTGACAGCATCTTCTAACGGACAGCACGGTCAGTGGCAGCAGGTTCTAACGGACAGCACTGTTCTCCGACTGCCAGAGGCAGCAGGTTCTGAACAAGATGAAGCCAGCTGCCGCGGCGGCGAGGGGAAGAGCCCTTGATTGACAACAGATGCTGCCAGACCCAATATAACCTCACTGACAGTGACCGAGGACAAATTCAGCGGCAGGATTCTGACGAGCAGTGAGAGTGGTTCATGGTGAGGAGAGGAGGACCCAGTGGTGCAGTGTGGTGCCGCTGGTGATGCGCTGTGGTGCCACGGAAGGTGGTGACCCTGAACCGCGGACAGTCACGGAGGTGTCAGTGAGGAACCGTTTAAATGGTGATAGTGTGACCATAAGCTGTCTCAAGTGAACGAAACAGGGTAGTGATGGGTCAATACCACAGGATGATACAGGGTAGACGAAAAGACGCCAATGGTGATGACGCAATGAGAAGAATGTCAGCTTTGGTGAAGTAGTGAGGTCTGGTCTCACAGTGATAACTGAGGAATGGGGCAAAGTGAGAAGTGAATTCCTGGTGCATATTGCTTTGTAGTTAAGTGGAATGGGGAGTAAACGCCAGTGACTATGTGTCAGCTAGTTCCAACAGGGATTCTCTAAGAGCGTATGAGCGAGCCAGGAGATGCTACCGCAATGAGGCGTCCCACCAGCCGCGAATATACTCAGGTATGTACCAGTGTCTCCTCACTAGACTGGCTCTCAGGGCCGGGACAGACTGTCACAACTCACACCCACTGTCGTATATGCTACACCCGAAGTGGTCCAGCCGTTGTCGGCATGGTTTGGTCATCCGATATGTGCGTGCCATTGCAGTGAGATGAAGTTACCAGTGCTCTGGTAGCTGACGATTACGACTTACAGCATCAGTGAGTGGATGCATGGCGCAATAATGAAGGAATGGATGGATTAACAAACGAATGAAGGATGGATGAGCCACAGACCTCTGTAAACTCGGTGTACAGAACTACAGACTACAGAGGTCTATGGATGAACCAATGAATGAAGAATGAATGAATGAGCTAATACATGTGAATCTCTGTGAATTGACACGTCAGTTTATTTGATCTTCTCTTATATCACTACAAAATCCTATGTTCCACCCAGCTACACCCAAGGCAAGCGCTTCCCCACCCCCACCCCGCCTCCCCCACGCTCCCCTCATCGCTACTTACATCACTAACGGCGTCCTTGAAGACGACGGGCGGGATGCGCGGCTTCTCTGGCTCCGGTTCCTCGGCACCCGGGGCCGGGGGGCGCGTCTCGGCCGGTGGCGGGGGCGTGCCGTCAGACATGGCTGCTGCTGAGCGAGCTGGTGCTGAGCGCGCTGGTGCTGGTGCTGGGGGCGGCCGGGAGCTGAGCTCTGGTGAGCTGGAGGCTCCGCACTGACCGTCGGCCGGGCCACGAGGCTCCTCCGGCTGGCTGTGGGAGGTCAGACGTGGAGGTCAGGTTCGAGGTCAGGGTCAGGTTAGAGGTCAGGGTCAGGTTAGAGGACAGGGTCAGGTTAGAGGTCAGGGTCAGGTTAGAGGTCAGGGTCAGGTAAGGTCAGGGTCAGGTTAGAGGTCAGGGTCAGGTAAGGTCAGGGTCAGGTTAGGTCACGGGCTGGTCAGGGTCAGGCGTAGTTTCAGGGCGGATGCCGAACTCCGAGGACCCTCCGGCTGGCTGTGGGGGGGGGGGGGGGGGGGAAGAGGGGCTGAAGTTCAAGTCAGACTAGTCAGAGGTTAGGTCAGGTTAAGGTAAGAGGCCGGTCAGGGGTAAGGCCAGGGTTTGGGAGTTATTTAGGGGGCACTGAAGGGGCTTACTCAGATGTAAGGAAACTTGCAGCGACAAGTGTAACAAAACATTGTTAAGAGCTAAACTGCTAAAGGGGACATTTTTCTTCCCCGTCAGCGCGCAACATTACGTAGGTAGCTCAATAACGGGCCAGATTCGAGGAACAGAAATCGACAGTGCACAATGCACATGATCCGAACTATAAGAACAAATCAGATTTAGATGACGACAGTAATTTATCAATCATTTCACATTCACAAATGAATTGGCACTGTTCGTCGACAAGACTGTAATGATATAACCTAAAGAAAACAATAAATAAAAACACCAGCATATTACCAGCGCTATGATGTCAAAAGGGCACCTCTACAGCACCGATGCTCTTCAAACAATATCGATGTTAGTTTCAGACGTTAGTAAAAGCGTATCACACACCACGCTCTCTCAAAACAGTAGGTACATACGAGACAATTAGAATGGATAAATATCATGCAACAACCGTTATAGCAATGCTCCTCTCCACAACAAAGGTAAACTACACATTGGAGGATGAAATAGCTCTACAGTGCTCCACAGACTTCACACTAGTGCTAATAACCTATTACAAACCTCAGATAAATTTCACTGCAAGATTGCACGTCAGTGTGTCAGTAAAAACAGGACTATCACACTTAGAGTGTCGACAAAACTGCAATAAAATAGCGCACAAAAGCGTCCTTGTTGGAACTCAATGTTAGTATTTCGGAGCTGGCTGGCTCTCCAAAGAGCGCCCGCTCCGGCAGCGTGGAGCGGTGGGAGGCGCTGCCTCGAGTAGGTGACCTGGGTGAGTCCTCAATGCGATGCAGAGTGGGAGCGAGCGTCGGCGGCGGCGGGGGTGGCCGGCGGTTGAATGTTTGCAATCGTTGCCAGTGGTGGGCAATATCAAATACTAGATAGCGCAGGGACAACTCACTGACATAGAAAATCTGATCCGGACCGCGGGGTAATAGGATCAAGTGTGGCCACACGCATGTGGTAAGATATCTGCGCAATAAAGCAAAATGAGCTGAACAACAGGAAATAAACAGGTAACAGTGAGTTCAGTGAAAAGAAACAGTGCGCTCGTACATTATGATAAGACAGTGTCCCAAAATTGAGTTTCGTCTTGGGTGTCAGAGGGGAAAATTACCCACCAAAAAGAGGGGAGAGAGTGGGAAACTGCTTCGATTGGATCCAAAAAGAGTGAGAAACGACAAAAAAGCATGCATTTGATTCTAGGGTGTAGAATGTTTGATGATAAACTGGGCATCCACACAACTGCTCTTACTAATTTCTATAGGTAAAAAATGCAGGTTTTCTTGGTTGGGAGTGAAACATTTTTCTTAAAATTGGTGGTGAGAGTGGAAAATGAATTTTATTTAGATGGCGTTTCCCACCCAAATCGACAAATTTTGGGACATTGTGATAAGGGGAAACGCCTTCTAACCCGCCACGCCGCCACCACCGCCGCCGCTGTCTCCCACAGGGTAGGTAACTACGGACGGGTGTACCTAAAGGTGACACGGCGCGGGGACCCGACACGCTGCTCCGACCTCGAGCTCTCCTCTACGTCCAGAAGGTCCGCAGAGCCGGCACGCGAGCGACGCTTCTTGTGAGACTTGCCGTCGCGTTTCTTCTTCTTCTTCTCCGCCTTGTGGAGTTTTTCGCTGAGCGAGCTGCGTCTCTCGTCGAGCAGTTGGTTCTGTTTGCTGAGACAGTCCGCCGGCCGAACCCGTCAGCACCGGTATAGGTCGGTGTGGTGATGGTTATGGACGTAAGGGACGGGTGTATAAGTAGTATGGCAAGGTGCGCTGTGATATAGTGTGCAGAGAGTACGATGGATATTTTGTATGATAAAAGCGTATGTCCGTGAAGTTGTATGCGTGTTTGCAATGCGCAGTGCTCACTATACAATATGCAAAAACGTTTATCGTAGTAATGTACATTTCAAATCATACACTGTGTGAACGGATTTCCGCTGAACCATTTCAAACGAAACCCATATGAAATATAAGCTGTAAAGGCTGTTGGCAGGACCAATCACTGACAGGCTTCTTTAGAGCAGTTACAAACAATCACCCAACGAATCGCCACCAGCCCACAGCTGTTCTCCACCCTCCCGTTTTCCTGCCCACTCCCCTTTCTACCCACCGTATCTCCTCGACTCGCTGGTTGAGCTCCACGAAGTCTGGACTGTCCTCTCTGTTCGAGCTCCTGACGTCCCGCACTGGCACGGAAAGCGGGTCGTTGGGGCTACGCTTCAGAGATAAACTGGCCAGCAGTGGAGCGACGGTCTGACCCAGGGGTCTGTGGGGGAGAGGGGGAGGGGGGAGGGTCAGCTAGGACAGAGACTGGAATGCTGCTTGAGAGAGACAGGGGGTCTGTGGGGGAGGAGACAGGGGTCTGTGGGGGGGGGGAGGGTCAGAGGGGTTAAAATGGTGAGAGAGGGAGGGGAGGCTCAGCTAGGACAGACTGGAATGCTGCTTGCCAAGAGGTAAGCTCATGTATGAACTTGAAGTTCAGCTGCATGAAGGTAAGCTCTCAGGGGCGTCGGGAATGCTAGAAAACAATTTTTTATTCAAGTTCCAACTGTATAGAATATAGGCAGAGGTTTATAAAATTACAAATGAGAAATCAAAAAAGAATATTGATAAACTGACAGAAAAAAAAAATCCTAAAAAGCTGAAAACTCTATTACGTTCTCTCCGTCGTTACTCTCCCTCTCTTTGTCTTCCTCCGTCACTCTCCCCTCCTCCCTGATGCTCACGTGTTCAACAGCTCGTCAGGCAGTGTGAGGATAAACTTTGGGATGCCGTGGCCGCAGAGAAAGGTGGCCACCTCGTCGGCAAAGTTGTTGCAGTTGTGCTCAATTAGGTTGTACTTTCCGGGCCTGCAAGGTGTTAACGACATTCTTAGTACACGCTCTTGTCTTCAGAAAAGGCGACCCGTCAAGTTATAGATGAATCTAGCATTGTTGCAAACGTAACTGATAACTAATTGCAATGTCGTTATCTAGCCCAAACTAGGCCGGTCAGACAGGCCTAGCCCCGCCACTGATAATCCAACTGACAAGATACAATCAAGCCTGCGTATCCCATCCCTTTCCTGCACTGGTAAATACATACCCCTCGCTCTCTCCTCTCAACCTCTTTCCCATCATACCACGGCACTAGGCATACCTACATAGAAGCATACGCTAAAGCATATGAGTAACACAAGTAAGCAGCACCCCACTGACATCCTAGTAACACACCAGAGCCCCACCTTCCATCGTAACTCACGCGAATGTGCTCTCTCCGAGTCCGAAGACGTATTCCAGGAAGAGCTGGTAAGGCACCTCAGTTTCACCGATACGCTCCACGCGAGTGGGTTCGCCCAGTATCGTCCCGCCCTGTGAAAGAAGACATTGTTAGATTGTCAGACGATGACACAGGAGATGACACACAGAGCATAGTCCTACCCTGAGATAGAGAGAGGACATTGTTAGATTATTAGACGATGACACAGGAGATGACACACAGAGTATCGTCCCGTCCTATGACAGAGAAAGAAGGACATTGTTAGATGTAGAAGATAACACAGAGTATCGTCCCGCCCTATGACAGAGACAGAAGGAATTTATTGGATTATCAGACGATGACACACGAGATGACACATAGAGTATCGTCTTATCCTGTGATAGACAGAGGCATAAGACATTGTTAGACGTGTCAGATGGCACATGTCAAAAGATGACACACAGATAGCTCATGAGTTGAAACGAGGATGACAAGCATAGTTGGTATGCCATACCATTATCTCACAGTTCAAACAACCACAAACTCTATTTGAAATAGCTGATCGTAGGAATCATAACAATGCCTGCTTGCCATGAACAATGAATCAAGCGCGACCAGTTGAAGCTGCAAGCCACCTTAACCCGCGAGTTGCTGGGGGGGGGGGGGCGTTAAACGCCCCCACTTTTTTTCGCCGGGCCATAGCATAAAAACGGCGCGCCGCAGGCGCGCCAAATTTTGGGTACCTGTAGGGAATTGATTGAAGTTTATTGTGACAAAGTTTCAAAAAAATCGGTCGGAAAATTTTTGAGATATCGAGGTTTTAGTGACGTCATGATTTCTGAGTTTTCGACCAAAAACGGCATATGTTCAAAAAATCATATAAAATCACAGAATAGACATACAGACATGCCGTAAACGCCATTAGACTGCCAATACCATGATCAATCAAATGGCTATCTTCGATTATTGATTATCGTTCCGCATTTTCCATAATCTTGAACTGAATCTTGGCAATTTTTCGTGACTTCTTCACGACCATGATACATGCATTTCTTAAATTGAACTTTTTTAGCCAAACACGTACACATATGATCAAATGAATGTCACCATCGTGTTCTACGCCTCAAATTACCTATAAAACATGTGTCACAGGCTGCGAATATCAGTTTTGATTTTCGGGTATATGTGCCTGCCCGGTTGACCTGACCTTGACCCTGACCTATGCTTGACTGACCCCTACATGGAGCTGACACTCTTTTAGGCCTTATATGATGGATTGTGCACCGTTTTGACAGAGTTTATGACGAGAGGTGCCCATTGGGAAGTCCTGAAGTCCACGCTACTGAAAGCCCGATTTCAGGTGTTTGACCTGACCTTGACCCGACCTGTGACCTCAAAATTCAACTTTTAAGTACTCATCTGAAGCGTCTCGTCGCGCTCTTTCGTTTGCCGCCTCGTGCGTTTCGCTGCGCCTATTGGTTCTCGAGTTATCGGCTGGGGGCGTTTAACGCCCCCCCCCCCCAGCAAACGGTGGGTGGCGAAATACCCCAGCAACTGCCGGGTTAAAGACCTAGAGACCCAATAAAACAGTGACAGCTGGGCACTTGGGCAGCCGGGCAGCCCCGTGTACTGCCTACTTTAGTTACTAGTTACTGCCTACTAGGCAGTAAGTTCAGCGGCCATAGACCAAAACCTCACTACCGAGCAGCCGAGTTCGTCTGGCTAACAACAGGTGGTTCGGCTCCACCCCGAAACAAACACACCGGTTTGCTCCAACCTTCAGCCGCCAGTCACAGCTCCCCCTCCTCCACCCCAACCACCCTGCCCCCCCCAAACGCCCCCACATCTCCGACCCCGACCGTTCCACCTGGTACTTCCAAGATAAACGGGCGCCGACCGAAAATACCGCGCCGATCGGCTACTATTTACCAGCCCCGCCCACGCCAATAACTCGAACGAGGATGCACGGCCGTGCGCGAAATAATTCACTTCGTGGGTAGATGTGTTTTGTCCAAGGACAGAAGGGTGTTACACAAAAACTTTTTCCCATGGGCAGAGACTTATTTACTTACATCTTGCCTAGAATACGGTCACATAAAAGCAGTCCAAAAATGATCTTGACATTGTTTGTAAGTCGAATTCTGGCCTCATATCAAACGTTCATTAGCGACGCTTCCCATGTCACAAGAGTATTTATATTTTAACATTATCATTCAATGCCCAAAGGAACATAACAGTAGGACTAAAGTCGTCATTAAAACGTTTAAACTTCTATGTTGAACTCCACCCATACACCTTCAGCACGAGCACCTAACATTTTGAGACAGTCATCAGCGGGCGCGGCGGTTCGGGCCGACCAGCAGCGGGGGGGGGGGGGAGCAGGGAGGGGGTGAGGGGGAGGGGCACCACCAGCTGCCAGGAATACCGGCTCTGCCGCCTCCGATCGGTTGGGTGAGTCACCGCTCTCACCTTCTCACAGGGGGCGGGTGAGTCGGCTACTAGCGGTGGGTGAGGTAGCCTTACAGATAAGTGGGAGCTTCGTGGCAGCCAACGGGTAAAAATGGAAAAAATGGAAGAAGTTGAGGATCATCAACAATACTTTCTCTGTTCAAAGTAGGAAGTGGGTTCCCTTATAAAATACCCCTATATCAAACGAAGGATGCGACCATGATGGGTAATAAGGCTCTATGATAAACACAAACCAATACCATAAACAAAACGAAGAGCCCTGAACTTCAAAGAAAGAAAACCACGAAACCGGATAGAATCCGCAACACGTCGCCCCTAGCAGAGCCGAAACACCACAAGCACACGTAACTCTGCAATGCAGCCGACAGAGAAACGTCAAATCTTCTCAGTTCAAGCGGTTGCCGACCAATACGCCGGAGCCACAGTGGAAAGCCAGGATAAAACTGAGATGATCACACAGAACAGACTATTTCTGAAGAGCCACGGGCCACACAAGTTGTAAAAATTATCTTCCGTAGACAAAAATCATGACCACACGCCTCTCATGAGCTAAGACCACCAACGCCTTTCTCCTCTTCCGAGATCTGCAGCACCGCTGACTGAAATTTGAGCCGATTCATCGGTCATCGGCGCCCTGCACCACCACCACTTCTTCTGTCTTCAATTTCATTCCACACCACTTCCACGTCCGCACTACTCTTCACAGACACATCCACCACTTCCCTCTCACATCCTTCTCACCACACTCTCACCTGGCTGTTCCCGGCGTGCACTCGTTCAGCTCACAGCGGCCGCGCGGCAGCGAGAGAGCGTGCCCGGCAGCGGGCGAGGCGAAGCCGGCGGTACCCCGGCCACCGGCGGCGGACCAGAATAGACCTGGCAGCCACCACCGGCGGCTACCGCCGCTACCGACACAGCTAGGAACACAGCCACCGGCGCCCAACGCGACGAGGAAGACGTAGGGAGAGTTGGGAGGGAGAGGAGGGAGAGGAGAGGGGACATGTGTCAGTTTCCGGATGGGCACGGACCGCGATGTCCGAGGTAGATGACCGCGAATGAAGCTGAGCGGACAGGAGTGGAGATGGGAGGAGGGCGGAAGGGGCAGATTGAGATATTGCGACATGTAGATGAGGCTGGCTGGGTAGGGTAGTGTGGGGTAATTTGAACATATTTTTACGTCTTCTCCGTTGTACCAAATTCCAGTTCAACCCTGGATGAAGAAAAACTGCTTCAGTAGCGCAAGTGTCACTTGCTTTCACCATGCAAGTCTCATTTTTGGACGAGCCGAGCATACCTTGAATAGCATAGCCTCACTTCTCCACCAAGTCACGGTGTGTTCAAATTGCCCAACCGTGGGGTAATTTGAACATACTGCCTTTACCTGTCATAAAAACGATAGTCTCGCCAGCACCGATGTTGTTTGACCCATAAACAAATAGGCAGAACAATTCTAAGCATACCTTCACTTGAGAAATCAACACAACAGCAAAAATAACAGTTGCAGAGTATCAATATCTGTACGCTGCACACCGGTCAGTTGACAGAATTCGCCCCTCTTCAATTAACAGAACGTCTATCATTTTTGTTCGATAAAAACTCTCCCAACCGTACTACATCTGCTTAAGTGGTGCCAATCGAAACCTGGACATTTGGAGTTCTGATTTCGTCCAATGTCCAATTCGGAATTGTTTGGACAAAGGTAGCAGCCTGGACAATATTGGACGATGGCTTGCTACACTTCAGCGCTTTTTATAAAGTAATCGTGCACTGCATAGCATTGATTGGCGAATGGAAAGCTTGTTAAGATTTCAATATAATGAACACTTTTCGGCTGGTAAAATTACATGATAAGCAATATAAATGACGGTTTTGAGTGTTGATAGCTGCATAATTTTCGGACATATTTAGACAAATAGTTGACTTTAACATTTTTGGACGGAAAATCAACAAAAATGCCGGACATTAGACGGATATTAGACGTAAATTTTCTAAAACTGGCATCACTTATCTGCTACTGCCTTGGGTCGAAAATATTGGCAAATAAAAAAAAGGGAGCGTTGTTTTTTCAGAGCTATCCCTGTCTTCATTCAAATTCTCACACTATGTTCAAATTACCCCACGCTAAAAGTTATTTTGCCATTTTAAAGAACAGGGTTCAAAAGCAAATTTCTTGGATTGACGGCGCTGATTAGGTCATTATACAACAAAAGCCGTTGCGTATTAGGCGCTAGCAATGCAAGATTTTGCGCTGCAATGAAGTTGCAATAACGTGTTGTTAGGCGTTTTTCCTTGCGAAATTGATTTTTTACACTGTGCGTCAACATCTTCATTCCCTGAAACTTAAAACCCCGTTCATATGATAGCCCTTTTAGTTACGATAATTTCTCTCATTGGTCTTATTTTCATGCCACTTATGGATTTTCCGTAATTTTCTGTTATTCACACTATGTTCAAATTGCCCCACATGTTCAAATTACCCCACCCTACCCAATGAAGTATCGTTCAATACGCAGCGGAGTGCACAGAATCGGTACCGTTTCTCTTCTGCGATCAAGGTGTGGCGGATTTTACAACCCCGAGAGTGGCGACGGGTCTCACCCTGTAGCCTGCAATGCTGACGCTGTATCTGAGGTACAACAAACCC